ACACAGAGGGTCTGGAGACCATGCTGTTTGTCCTGTTTTTGTCCTTCTACATCTTCACCCTTCTGGGGAACTTGCTCATCCTACTAGCAATTGTTTCCTCCACTCGGCTTCACACTCCTATGTACTTCTTCCTGTGCAAGTTGTCCGTTTTTGATATATTTTTCCCTTCTGTGAGTTCCCCCAAGATGTTGTTCTACCTCTCAGGGAACAGCCGCACAATCTCCTATGCAGGCTGTGTGTCCCAGCTCTTCTTCTACCATTTCCTGGGCTGCACTGAGTGTTTCCTGTACACAGTGATGGCCTACGACCGCTTTGTTGCCATATGTTACCCTCTGCGATACACGATCATCATGAGTCACAGAGTGTGTGCCATCCTGGCCACTGGGACCTCATTGTTTGGCTGTGTTCAGGCCACCTTTCTAACCACTCTCACCTTCCAATTGCCTTACTGTGGCCCCAATGATGTGGACTATTACTTCTGTGATATCCCAGTGATGCTGAAGCTGGCTTGTGCAGATACCTCATCCCTGGAGATGGTGGGGTTCATCAGCGTGGGCCTCATGCCCCTCAGCTGCTTCCTTCTCATCCTCACCTCCTACAGTCGCATTGTCTTCTCCATCCTGAAGATCCGCTCTGCAGAGGGCCGACGCCGTGCCTTCTCCACCTGCAGTGCCCACCTCACGGCTATCCTGCTTTTCTACATGCCAGTGGTCCTCATCTACCTAAGGCCAACACCAAGCCCCTCGCTGGATGCAACCGTTCAGGTTCTGAATAACCTGGTGACCCCCATGCTGAACCCCTTGATCTACAGCCTTAGGAATAAGGAGGTGAAATCATCACTAAAGCAGGTCCTGCATCAGCTGGGCTTTCTTCCTGAGAAGTTGTAAAGAGAGACCAACCACACCTCATAGCTTGTGTGGCATTTTTATTTGGTTCTCAAAGATATTTTTGAATTTGAGCACCCAGATATTATTACCTCTATTTGCAGGGACCAAGATGGAAGAGTAAAAGTAACTTGTCCAAGGACGCACACCATGAAGAGCAAGACTCTAGGACTGCTTTTCTGGCTCCGGGACTTGTGTTCTCTGTGCATATTATAATATTCATGTGGGAAGGAGGGAACTCTTTCCAGCATGGAAAACAACCCAGAGCTTCTGCTTCTCAATCTTTATTTTCTGCATCCTCCTTCACCTCCTTCAAGCCTTCTTTTCCCTCTTGTACTGGCCCTCTTTCTGCTTGGCTGTAGTGATGCACCTCAAATACTCACACTGGATTAAGCTCCTGTTATATGGATACGAAAATTGTTGAAAAAGCACCAGCGGTACCTCTTTGTGGCTCCCAAGAGCATACAATTACTTCTGAATTTTACATAAATTGTATAAACAGGAAGACTTCTGGCTCAGACAGGAGGCAGGTGTCTTAGGGGTGAGGCCAAAATACCATGGTTCAGTGTGACTTACTAACCTTGCCTGTGAGTATTAGTCCTGGAATCAGGCCCTGAGAGAGAGCAGAAAGGTGAACTCATGAAAGGGTAACTGTGATGTGATTTCGTGTTAGAAAACTGGGCTGTTTTCTTTTTCTTGCTCAGTACAACCAGGAGGCAATGAGGGATGAGTCCAAGCTGTTGTTTTGGTCTTTGGCTTCTCTGATTACTGAAATCATTTGATTTGGGCTCATGTTCCCACATTTGCTTATTTCCTGGATAAAATGCTTAGAATGAGAACTGTGCTATGCAGTGAATTACTGTGTTCATGACTGAGTGCATTCAGAGTCCTTCTCACACCTGAGAAACATGGCTGCTGTGAGGTTTCTTCCCACAGGGATGCAGAGAGGACGGGACAAAGGGGAGAGGGTGATGGAAGAAGTCAGAGGTCAAGGGCGATGTTTTCCTTCTGAGCTCACCTTTCAGACTCACAGCAGTCAAGGAACACGTTGGACCCAACCAGCAGTGCTGTGTCTGTGGCTGCAACCAGTGGGGTGAGCCAGTACACGCTCCAGGAAGAGAGACAGGCTTTTTTTCCCCTTAAGCTCCTAAAACACCCTCAGTGCTATTTTTCAGCAAGTAAGAGCCTAAACAGGAAGCTGCAAATATATCTCAAATTACATCATTTAGTGTATGCCAAGCTCTTCTCAAGCCTCTCCGGGTCCACTTTCAATTTCCTGCTTATAGCTGCTCAGAACAGAAACACAACAATTGCTGAGAATAAAATATAGAATCAGACTCCTTTTTCTTTTAACATTGATTAATAATAATTGTGATCTCTCTCTCTCTCTCTCTCTCTCTCTCTCTCTGCGTGTGTGTGTGTGTAACATAAACACATTGCATCTTGTCGCTCCCCCTCTTCGTGGAGGAACGACACTAGACCCTGCACTGTTCTTTTGTCTGCTCGGCCCTTCCCTGGTTAGCTGCTGGTTCTTCCCGGGTTGGCTACCATCCCTTCCACCTCCATGGAAGGGCGGTTCCCCCTGCCACTTTCCCCACTTCCGCGGGGGAGCGGCACACCGCCGGCCGGCTCTCTCGGGGGCTGCACAGGTGTTCCTTCAGATAGATGTTCCTGGTGCATATTGTCTCTCTCCTCCTTTATAGTCCTCTTCCACCAATCCCAACTCTGCTACCCACACGCTGAGTATGCTGCTCTCCTCCAATCCGGAGCAGATCCTACAGTTTATTGGTTGAACTGGAGGCAGCTGTGTAGAAGCTGTTTCCTCCTCTCCCAGCGCCATATTGTGGGAGAGCAGATGCATAGAATAAGTCTTAATTCGAGTAACTTAGTCTAGTCCGAGTTGCTCCCAGTTGCTCCCCACACATCTGATCAAGGTAAGTTAGTATTTCACCTTCTTTGAAATTATGTTAGGATTAGAGGTTTAGAAATTCTTTCTACTTCTTTCTTCTATTTGTTTATACAATATCTTCTAGGATGTTCTGAACTACAATCTCAAACATTATGCCTGTAACACTAGGAACGTAATCCTCTGATCCAACTCTGATTTAGTACATATTGTCCGACTTCCTTCTGTCTACTGCCAACCTCTAGTAAGCACCATTCTGTGTTCAGATTGAGTTTTTTAACTCCACAAATGAGGAGAATATGCAGTATTTCTCTCAGTGTCTGGCTTACTTCATTTAACATGATGCCATCCAGTTTCACCCATCTTGCTGCAAAGGACAAGATTACATTATTCTTTCATTTTCACTTATTTAGATGTCATCGCACGAATACCTTGTTTTGCTTTGGCTGAGGCAGATATGATCTCCCCCACCACCGAAGGAAAATGAGCCCTCCTGAAGGAAATCAGAGTCCACTGGAGAAATAAACAGACACTGCACTAACTGGAATGTCCCATGATTCATCCTATGACCACAGAGTTCAGTTTCCTGGGGCAGAAGAAGGACATAATAGAAGGGGTGGTGAAGAGATTGCTCTACTTGATTTTTAGAGATGAAGAATGGCTGAGCAATATTTTCCTGAGAGAGGCAACATACTTCTCAAATTGTTTTGAAATGTATAGAGTGGGCTGGCGCTGTGGCTCACTTGGCTAATCCTCCACCTGTGGCGCCCGCACCCCCGGTTCCCGTTGGGGCACCGGATTCTATCCCGGTTGCCCCTCTTCCAGGCCAGCTCTCTGCTGTGGCCCGGGAATGCAGTGGAGGATGGCCCAGGTCCTTGGGCCCTGCACCCGCATGGGAGACCAGGAGAAGCACCTGGCTCCTGGCTTCGGATCAGCGCAGTGCACTGGTCATAGCACGCCAGTCACAGTGGCCATTGGAGGGTGAACCAATGGAAAAAGGAAGCCCTTTCTCTCTGTCTCTCTCACTGTCCACTCTGCCTTTCAAAAAAAAAAAAAAAAGAAAAAAGAAAAGAAAAGAAAAAAAGAAATGTATAGAGTGAGAAAGTTTCTTGGGCAGCTGTCTCTTAACCACTTTTCATTTATAAGGAAATAGCTTCTGAGATAAAGGGATCATTACACCTTCTGCTTTTAGGGTTCGTCTCCAGCTGAACTCCTTTGTTACAGGACTGGAGGAATTGTGTTGAACAAAAGGACTCTAGCCCTGTCTTCTTCAACAGATTCACCTCTCTGCTCATCCCTCTGTTCTGAGATGCTGAGCGTGTCCACATCTCCAGGTAACTCTTTCTACCTAAGTAGGAACCTAGAATGCCAGGCCATGACTAGGATGTGGAGGCCCACATTGGGTTTGATGGTGGGTGTGGCATTTTTGTTTTCTATCTTTAAGGGGCAGTGTAAGACACATTTAACAAAAAAGTTTCCGTAGATGAAATATTAATTCAGGTAGACCACCCAGAAGAGTAAGTATTCCACGGGGGCATATCAAGACAAAGAATTAAGGTTCAAGACCAGGAAGACCAGAGAAGATCAAGAATATTGAAGGAGAGGTTCAGAGGGTGATTTGAATGAATGGGCTATAGCAGCAGCGTTTCCTCACACATGGCCTCAGGCAGCCCTAAGAGGGGGGTAGGAGACCTGACAGCAAGTGCCTTCTGTTTCTTGAAGAGCTTTCTCTGTTCACTTCAGCAATTTCTGCAAAATACCACTGCACTCTCCAGTCACGGTTCCTTTTCTGTGCCCCCCGAAATTTGTAACACAATTGATGCCGACTCTGAATTAAATTTTTGTAGTTTGCTTTACCTGCAGCTCCCAGAGAGCAAAACTGGTGTGGGCATCCAAAGTGGAAAATGCACACTGAAAGTGAAGCCAAGGTGGTGTATTGAGGGGAGAGGTTTCCAAAGAAGTACTAATCTGTATATTCCCTGCTTTTCCCTGAAGCACTAATGATTTACTTTAAATGGTTGAAATGAACAAATAGCCAATTAATCACTCAGTTTGCAAGTTAGGGGTGGGAAATCATCATGAATACTAACTTTACCTTTACCAAAATGATTACTCAATGTAAGAGAACAGCATTATTATATGTCATACTAGGTCACTTAGAATAAGAGAGGCAGTAATGGCCATAATTACTAAAATGTTTGACATGTAATTCCAACTGGAAAGTAGGCTGACAGATACTTTGAGCTCTGTTTTTCTGTCTTTAAATGGTAAGAGTACCAACACCTCTATTTCTTCTCCTACTGAGGATGAAACAAAGTACTTGGAATCTCTTGGGAATGCAGAATGGATTAATGAGAAAGTAGTGTGGAAATAACGAAATTCCTTACATAAACATATACTGCTTAAACAAAAGGCATTTCTGATAAAAAGTAACTACAACCCATATCACTGTTAAAAGATTCTATCAACCCCACCCCAGAGCGGATGTGGGGGAAGGAATTAGGGAAAGAAAGCCAAAAGACTACAAACCCAGGTACACATCTGATTTCAACCATGAACTCTAAACTGGGTAAATCCTTAAAATTCCATAGAAAATTCAAGAGCTCTGCAACAACTCTCTCATTACTCCAGGACCTTAATAAACAGCATCATTTCTGGTAGTCTGCACATCTACATCTCTTTATAATCTGTGTAGAAACAGATATGAACCATCCATGGAGATCTTAAATCCTTTTTTGGATCATACACCTGCTATGAATTAGTTTAAAGCTATGGGCTCAGTGCCTGGAGTGACACACACGAAATCCACGGATTGATATATACACTACTGTGGGTACAATTAAAGCTCACCCATAGACTTCATATTAAGCACTCTGTTCTAGCCATGATTAAAGAGATGAGCATCAGTCACTTAATACACTGTCATCCACTTTCCACCACAGCTAACAGTTCTTAGTAAGATGGAAAAACAGAAAAAAGCTTGTCTTTGACATCCTGTTCCCAGTCTTCATTGTTTTTTGTTTGTTTGTTTGTTTTTGTTTTTGTTTTGTTTTGTTTTGTTTTTTGTTTTTTTGTTTTTCTTTTTGGGGGACAGGCAGAGTGGACAGTGAGAGAGAGAGACAGAGAGAAAGGTCTTCCTTTTGCTGTTGGTTTACCCTCCAATGGCCGCCGCGGCCAGCGCACTGTGGCCGGTGCATCGCGCTGATCCGAAGCCAGGAGCCAGGTGCTTCTCCTGGTCTCCCATGCGGGTGCAGGGCCAAAGCACTTGGGCCGTCCTCCACTGCACTCCCGAGCCACAGCAGAGAGCTGAACAGGAAGAGGGGCAACCGGGACAGAATCCAGCCCCTTACAGGGACTAGAATCCGGTGTGCTGGCGCCGCAGACGGAGGATTAGCACATTGAGCCGCGGTACTGGCCATTTTTTTTTTTAAACAAAAAAGATGTACTTATTATTTGAGAGGAAGAGTTACAGAGAGGCAGAGGCAGAGAAAGAGAGAGGTCTTCCATCTGCTGGTTCACTCCTCAGATGGCTACAACTGCTGGAGCTGTGCTAATCCGAAGCCAGAAGCCAGGAGCTTCTCCCAGGTCCCCCACACTCATTTAAGTGCCCAAGGACTTGGGCCATCTTCAAATGCTTTCCCAGGCCATAGCAGAGAGCTGAATTGGACGTGCAGCAGCCAGGACTCGAACGAGCACCCATGTAGGATGCCAGCACTGCAGGTGGCTGCTTTACTCACTATGCTACAGCCACAGTGACAACCCCCATTGTTTCTTTTTTTTTTTTTTTTTGATTTATTTATTTATTTGAAAGTCAGAGTTACACAGAGAG